CAAAAAAGGAAATGTACAACGAATGCTGTGGTCCTCTGAACAGACACATTAAAAGGAATGTTATAAAACACACACTGCATTGGTTTAAAGTTGGGTTCATTGAAGTCCCACGCTTCCTCTCCCTGCTTAGCGTTCTTCTCACCGGTGTCTTGGACCCTGTGCATCTGCTTGTGTAAAGTCTGACAGTCCTTACTGCAGCTTGTCTGGAGTATGATGGGTGGTCAATGAAGATATCAGCCATTCTTCGTCATCACTCAAACAGATCGGCAGAGAGACAATAATGCAGAAGCAATTAGAAAAACAGAAACATGTTATTGGTAAATGCCTTTTCAAAACCCTTTAATATTTCAAGACCAAAATATGAACAGCACCACCAAACATTTAAATGGTCTCCAAAGCTGGTTCTATGCACCTTGAAAAAGAGAGGGCCTAATAAAATGTGGACATTTTGAAACGCATCTTAAAAAATCCTGAGTGACAGGCAGGCAAACAAAAAGATCCAGGTACCAAAAAAAACTGAGCAAAAACTGATTCAATGAACTGGCAAACTCAAAGGGAAAACTGGCTGGTTATATACATGGAGAAGGTGTAAAACAGGTGTATCTGAAGGAGACAACAGGCTGGTGAACAGGTGGAACTAGTGAAACTAATGAGGGTGTGGCAGAATATCAAACAGGAGGGAAACACACAGAGGCAGGGAGCAAAATAGGTCAAGACACACAAGAGACAAGAGCTACAAAATAAAACAAGAAACACTACACTTAGTCAGACTAAGACAGTGAAAAATCACAGGAAGGGAGTTCATCATGAAACATGAGGGTGGTAATAACCAAATAATTAGAAATGTAATCTGAAAAATGACATAAACTACGAAACCAAACAAGAAGAACTCGTGTCGATAACTAAAACAATCTCAAATAAGAACAACTCATATCAGTAAATACTTTCAGAACAACTCATGGCAGCCACATTGAAAGCAAGACGTTGTCACAGCACAGTGGATAGTAAACACATAGTTAAATGTGCATTTCTGAAATAGAGTTGATTGAGGTTTTATTGCTATGTTTGGTGGTTGATTTGTTTATAGAAGCTATGCCAAGGTTTGTGGATGTATATCTGTTAATGGATTATCAATATGACCAAATAACTGTATTCTTTTGTATTTGATCAGTTATGGAGTTAACCATAACTTTCCTTGTATGAACAATTGCGGCATCAGTCATTGACAACTATATCAGACTTTGAGACCGGTTGCGGGTCATTGTGTGGTTTTCATCAAATATGAGTTAGGTGGTGGGTCATTATGTTTTCACTTAATGTTTGATTCAGCTTGTGATACATATTTTTTCCTCATCAAAACTGAGTCAAGTTGCAATTCAACATTTTTCTACTCAACGTTTGAGTCAAGGGGATCAGGCGTGGACTGGTGCCACAGGGGACACCAGGACATGAGCAGGCAGATCAGACAGAAGAGGTGGCTCCCCTTAATTCAATTCATCGATCAGATAATTCAGTCAGGGGAGGATAATGAATCCCTCAAGGTTGACTGTAATTCTCTCCAACTGTCTCCTCTCGTTTATGTTTCACTTTATCTTCTGTAATCCCAGCGTCAGTCTACTCGTCTCTGCTTGGGTTCTGACTGCCATGTTTGTGTCGCTAACAGGATAGATCAAACTGTGTCCGTTCAAAAGAAAACTGCAGTTACTGATCACTAGTCTAGGCGACGATGTGCCAAGAACTGCAGCTCCTCCAGCGGCCACTTGAGGCTGTCTCCAAAAGAGAGTCAGTCCCCATGATGTCCCATGTTAAAATGCCCAATTTAAAAACAGAATTCAATGAGTTTATATCCTGGTACAAACAGCAGTTTTTTTTTTTTACTAAAAAACATTACAGGTGCTGAATCTTTACTAAAAATACCATCTTAAATTATATGAAGGCTAAAAATTATGCTAAATAAGTAGCATGGTATCTTTGTCTGAAAAATGCATGCTGCTAGCTGATGCAATGGACTTGAGTTTGTATAGCGCTTCTTACTACTTCTAACACTTACACCACATTCATACAATGATGGCAAAGGCTGTTATGTTATGAGTTTCAATCACCAGTTGTCCTATTCATACACACTCACATGCCGCTGACACAGCAGCAGGAGCAATTTGCAGTTCAGTGTCTTCAAGACACTTTGACATGTGAATGGGGATCAAACCCCTGACCTTCAGGTTGAGAGACAATCGACTCTGCCACTGAAAAACACCATATGCTACATCTGAAACTTCATTTCACAGCTATTATCCACTCCTTTTTGTCAACTATTTGAGTTTAGCTCTGACTGTACTGTACTAAATGAGTGGCTCTAAAGATTAAAACTAGTGCAGTAAGTTCAGAACAATGTGAAATCTTGTGTTTTCATCAAGCGCAGAAAAAGCACGAGTGCGATGGGAACAAACCCTTAGCCTCCTGCGAGCCAACAAACATCACAGGAAACAGACGGAAGGCGCCCCGCTGCAGCCACCAAGGTCAAGGACGAAGTGGAAGCAACAAAATACAAAGAAATCCTCAAGGGGGAGAGAAGTGCATGATGGGGGATTTATGTTACCTGGAATAAGAAGAACACATGACGCCAATAGAAACATATATAAATACAGCATTTGAATCCAATCAGAGAAAAGGAACACATTTTTTTATCAGTACAGAGAATGTACTTTTATGTAATATAACAAGAATAACAGGAATGGATGAGATAATAGAAACACCTTTAAGCTTTATTGAATATACCATTACAGCCTTCTTGAGGTATAATTCATAATTTGGCTGTTGAACTCATTTTCAGGAGTAGCAACTAAACTAGCCAATTCAAGTCAAGTGATTTATGTTTTTTTGTTTTTCCAGAGCCAGTCCAATGATGTCTAGGTGTGGAAAAACAGAAAAATGTCCCTTTTTGCATTTTCACAGATGTAACTATTGTGTCATCATGCTGACTTTTTTTTTTTTAACATAAATTAACAACAGAATTGACAAGACTACAGTATGTGTGGTGGTTTTTATATCATGACCTGGTCCAATATGCACTATAGGTTGTAAAAAAAAAAAAATGGCAATAAAACTTATTTTGCAATATTACAATGATTAGGACGGTTCAAAATGTAAAAGTTGGTGTTAGACATCGTGAAGGCTTTTTTAAAACAGAGCTGTCAAAGGTAACGTGTTATACATGTGATTCATCTAGAGAGCATAATGATATGTTTTAATTCAAATAAATCATATTCATATGCAAACTAACATTGAGCCTCATTCACTCTAATTATCCTTTATTAAACATTTAATGATGACTCAGCAGAAGAAGGGACAACTGTTTTCATGTTACCAATGCTGCAGATAGTGACTGTGAGGGTCACGACGGACTGAAGTGATGATTTACAGTAAAATTAAACTTTGTTTATGAAGCCTGATGATTCTCTAATGTTCTGCAGATTATCAGTGGACTATAAGAACATGTTACACAACGTTTTGTGGCATGTCAGAACTTTAATTCCTCAGGAAATATATAAACATGTAAAATATAAGAGACACAAATCTGTGGAATTGTGGATCTTTGTGTGTTTTATGTTTAATAATCCAAATACCTCAAACCAGTCCACCACAGAGTGTTTATGGTCACTTATCTCCCTCTATCTTCTGTTATTATTGTCTTCCTCTGACTAAACACCCTCCTCCTCCTCCCCCTCCTCTTCCCTTTCTCCTGCTGCTCCATCTCACCACACTCATCTGCATTCTGACACACTGCCCCCCCCCCTCCTCTCTTTCTCTGTGTCTGGCTGCTTCTCCACCTTTTTTTCCTCCTCCGTCTCCATTTTCCCCCTGCAACCACCCACACCCAGAGACACACAGGGACACCTCCACCCATCTCCATTATACCGCCATCGTCACATTAACACACACAATGATATTATGACTTTTTACATTCTGCTTCCACTGCTTCTTTTCTCTCAGTATCCCCGATCTGTTCAGCTGCCTCGCTGTCACTTCCCTCCTTTCCTTCATCTCCTCAGCAACCCCCGTTTTCTATCTCTGATCTCCTGTTGCAGCCTCAGTGGTGAAGTCTCTTAATAATTTATCAGAATCTAAAATTTAAATGAAGCACAGAGACAGAGAGAGACAGAGAGAGAGAGAGAGAGAGAGAGGAATCAGACCTCCCTCCGTCTCTGCTTTCGTTTTCGTCCCAGGATCCAAGCCTGCCTCTCACTCCCTTGCCGACGGTTGCCGTGACAACACGTGCTGTTGTCCTAGAAATAGAGTGTTTGAAATGAACCATTACATCCCTGGCTGTTTATTTTCTTACATAATTTCCTCATGTCACATTAAATAAATAAACAACCGCCCTTGCAAAGTGAAAGCACTGGGATCGTCATGGAGTATTCCTTCAAGCTGAGCGGATACTGTTAACATTGCTGTGATTTTTTTCTTAGCATAAGGGACACTTTCTCTACACAACTGCAACTACAACTCATACTTGACATTTTGTGCAAACTATGCAGGGTTGACATTTAGTTTAATTTGCATTTTCCTCTTCCATGTATTTGAAGATCTTCATTTTGAAATCACTTTATCTACGTTTGGTTCTTTTGACAACCATGTTTCAGACTGAAGACTTGTGTTTTGGGTTATGTGGCGTCTATTGTTATCTCCAAGTGTATATGTCATGACGACCCCTGACTGTGTCAGTGCTCTTCCTGTTTCCTCGTATCTCTCCCCACTCAGGTTGCCTTCAGGTAGAAAGGGGCGGGGCCACTTAATTTGATGTCATACTCCTTGGCAGGATGGGCCTCAGTATTTAAGTTGCCTTCAGTCTCTCTATCTCTTTCTCTTGTCAAAACTTACATTGGTTTGTGGTGTGTTTCCCACATATTCCACCATGATTTATTCCAACCAGCTAGGATTTCTTGCATTTAAGTCAACAAAAATATGATAGAAAATCCAAGATGGCCATTAAGAATACATGGTACTTGAACTGGCTTTTATTGCATTTCATCTTCTTTTTAAAGCATTGTGACTTCTTCTCCTTAAAGGTGCTTTATACATATACTTATTCATGAATTAAACTCCCTGAACTTTTGTTCATGAACACACCGGTGATGCAGAAACATTGTCATGCAAGTTTTCCCTCAGGTAGATACATTATGCAGACTCAGAGGAGGTTGTATTGAACTGGGATTTATTCCCTTGAAACATGTTCAGATACTTAACATCAGTAGTTAAGAGCAATAGTGTTTTGGATAAATGTATTGTGAACACCCATAGAGTACTCATTTTGGATGCTTTAAAAAGCATTCAGTTTAAGGCATGCACAGGCACAAAAAGAGTCCAGTGTCAGGAGATCACAATCAATAATTACAGAAAGACATATGGAAGTCTATTCATGCTAACAGCGAACCCACCAAACCTTTGCCATTTAAAAAGAAAGCGAGCAAAAAGCAGCAAATATAGAGCGTCACAAACAGTAGATTATCATACAAAAGAGATCCGGAGAATAGAAATATAAAAATACAAAGATCAGGTAATCTGGTGTCAAAGGAGCATTTTACAAAAACAATGAAAAGAATGAAGTGAAAAAAGATGGCATGACAGAAATACAGGAGGTTTTCATAGGCGCAACCAAAAGTGAACATCTAATTAACCACAAAATACAGCATCTATGTACACTGCTTTGTTTGAAAATAAAAGTTCTGTGGAAACTGTAGAAAGTACGTTGTTTTGTACTAACGCGGCGCATCTGCTTAGCAACCATGACTGCAAGAAGGCCGTTTTAAAAAAATGTAATCTTACTGCCTCTCTCTGTAATTTACCCATTCATTTGGTTTCAATTCCAACTTGTACACATTACTTGACTGTGACTACTCTAGACTCTTTTTCGCTAGCTTCTTTCAATTTATGAAAAGCTGGTTGACTCATTTTGATTATTTTATGACTCATCATTTAATTTTTATTCATCTTAAGTGAAAGACAATTTGATTGTAATTGGCAGCTTTGATATTGTAGGAGTCCTTTAAGATAAAGCACTTTTACCAGTTGCTTTAAAGATAAATGACTGTACTGATGTGGAACCGTGTTCACAATTAAGTCCTGCACATAAATACAGTGATTAAAATGTAAGCAGCTAAAATATCAAATAACACACACACAAAAAAAAAAAAGAAGCTAAACAAACAACAGCACAAGGGATTTAACAGTCAGTAAAATTATCTGATAGAAACAATGTGAGGCTTTGTTGATAAACACTATAGGCAACTCTGAGAAGTAGCGCAAGCAAAATCCATACAACACCGTGTACAGTACACAACCATAGCAGGGAAGCTAGCATTCATACTGACATCGAGCTGGGACCTTTTATTTGCATAATGTGAATAGTAAACAGGCATGCTACATACAGTACAGGAGTGGGTAGCGTAGAGGTGTAGAGAAAAAGAGGATATCATAACTTGGTGGATTTATCACAATTTCCCAAACTTTTTATATTCAAAGTGCTACTCAGTTAGCTTTCCTGCTAAATGAGGCTACAGTATCATGTAAAAGCATCCGGTAATAAATACTGTAAACATGCATAGGTTATAGTAAATACAGACTGATTTTGTTCCATAACAACAGCTTATTTCCCCAACGCAGTACGTCCACAAGAGTGTCTGTTAGCTTTACACATAACAGGCTAATAGAAATGTGAGGGCTTTTCCTGTGCAGGTTGGCACACACTCAGGTGTTTGGCACAGCGTCACACTGAGGCTCTGAAAGCTGAGACAAAGCTGATTTGACAAGGACAGGATGAGCACTTTGACAATGTAAATCAAGCTGTTGTACAGCAGCGTAAACCGTGAAAGGTGTCACAACGCCACAATGGTTTAAGCTAGCTTGTTCAAGAGAGTTTTTTTATGTTTATGTTCCAGGACATTTTAAAGCTGCGGGATGTTCATTTCAGAACAAAAATCCTGATCTGAAAGTTTGTTAAATGACCAAATACCATAGGCTCCTCCTTGAGATTTCATTTCACTATCAAAACAGACCTTCATATTAGCTATAGGCAATTTTGTTGTTATTGAGACCAACAATGCTGAACGGATGAAATACACAAGCTGCTGAAAACTAGTGGACATAAAGAAAGGACAGAAGAGTAAAAGGGCAGGCAGAATATGTAAAATGCAACTGGGACATGATCTCAACTCTCAACTGAAAAAAGGGGTGTTTCTCTTGATTCCAGACCAAAGGCCACTTCACCCGGAAAACTGTTCAGGAACAGGCAGGAACTTTTTTGGACAGTTGCCTAATAATCTCCTACAGTAATGATGTCTTCAAAGACAAAGGGGATGAGGCTTGGTGTGGGGACTAGACTCAAAAGACTAGTCAGAAAATCTAAAACACATCAAGACAAATAAGGCAGATCCATCTCTTGTCAGATCACATCGAGGTGCACAGGAACAGTCGGTGCAAGTCCAGATCTGTGGTGTAAATGTAAACGTAAGCCCCCAAATGAATAGAGGGCCTGGAGATCACAGGGAGCAGCGACGAACTGCCGATCACTTCACGTCACTTAAGTAGAAAACGCTGCACTTACTGTGGTCAGATAAATTAATTAAGTAGGTTTGAATCAGAGGGACCCAGCTGGAACCATTTACAGGCACAGAGCTGCACTTAAGAGTCCCATTGACCACATCTTATAGATATGAAGAGAGATATTGAGAGACAATACATTCTAATGTCTTATTTTAGCATATGATGGGAAAAAAGAACACAGCTTTTGCAATATTTCTCTTTCAGCAGTGTTACCAACACTATGTCCCATAAGCCCTGGACAGACACTTAAAGGGTGACCTGCTTGACAGACAGGGTTCCATAACAGACTGCCTCTTAACTCGCTTTTCCATTATTCCAAAAGTGTGTTGAAATCCCAAGTGTTTTCATTAAGAGTATTTGATCGTTCTTGGACAATGAACACTTAACTCAAATAGCACTTCCTGTAGAAAGGTCAAATCAAAGAAATGCTTAATAAGAGCTTGTACCAAGAAGCTAGATGAACAGTGGGCTAGACATTGGCTCTCTCTATAAGACCTTTTTAAACAAAGCCCATGTCTTTAATTAAATAGGTCTGCTGATTTACTGCTAACCAATCTGCGCTTTCTAAAGAGGTTCGAGTGGGGGATGCCACATCTACAGTACAGTACTCTACTAGCCTGTCCTACAACCCTCTTTGAGATAGATACAGCTGCACGTATTGATTTGAATTGATTGTACAGCCGGAAAAAAAATCGGACTGAGTGTGCAAAAGACTTAAATCCATGTTTTATACTTTTAATGTGTAAACTCTAGGAGCCATCCGGACAGGGAGGGGTGTTATATTTTGAGATGTTTTGTTTAGTGTATTGTGTTTGCTACACTACCAAGGGGATTCAAACAGCAGCTGGCAGCTTTAATCACAGAAGAAGCTACTGTAGCAGCAATTTAGCAAACCAAAATGAATAAAAAATGAAGACCGCAAGATTCTTCCTCTGGGCAGCAAACAAGTGCCCATTGAAAAAAAAAAAAAAAAATCACGTTAACCAAAGAAATTCAGTCCTGTGATCGGGGAGCAGTCGAATTGTGAACGATGAATCAACTACATATGGAAAACACAAATATGAGCAGCAGTCTTTGTAACAAGTGTCTGTTGATTTTCTTTTCTTTTTTATAGTCAGCAAATGTTATGTGCAGAGTCAAACCAATATGAATCTGTTTGCAACCAATGTTGGTTTGAATCTGTCGATGAAATAGAATTTCCTTTGACATTTATTTAAGATGAAGGTCTGTTGTTGATAGTAATAAACTGTTTTATTCTTATTTCTGTGCTTTTGTTCTGCTTAGCGTTGGGGTTCTTCTCAACCTGTCGGGGCTCAAGTCCGCTATAACAACGCTCTCACTATACATTATCCCTTACACAGTGAAACCCAGAGTTATTTAAAATTCAAAATAGCTGTATAGTGAGTGACATATGCATGTGCATGTGTGCACCACAAACACCTACAGGAACAGATGATTGAGGGAACAATCCACAACTTTCTCAAAAAACAGCTCAATCTGTTTGTTTCCAGCCTTTCCAGTCCAGAGACTCTCACAGTATCTTCTTCAGTCCATATTAAACAAGCACTTTGCAGGATTTTTCCAGCTTCCATTCAGCACATTTTCTCATTTTTTGGCATCAAAAAGTGAAAACCACATCCCTCAGTTTGCTTATTGCTGGACCTGTGGCACTGAGATTGATTAAGAGGTCAGAAAAAAAAAATCCCATTTCCATAGACATGCCAACTTCCATGACAAAAAGACCTTTCTTCTTCAAAGAGAAAAGTGGTCTGAGGAGATAAGCTGTGACTAAAGAATAATATAAGCATTTCATGATCCAACTTTTTTTTCTTTGTTTCCAAGTCGGGCATAGGTTCAGGAGTGGGTTGGTCGTTGGGTTGTGTCGGAGGTAGAGCGTCAGGCAGACCATGCTCTTCGTGCAGCAAGAAACAACAGCAAAGTATACGAACAGATTTGTTTTCATCTGTTGCAGGCGCTTGAGAAGGATAGTGCTTCAGAAAATCAGAGGGAGCAGTGTCTTGTCGGTCAGATGTTGTCGTCAAGTCAGACTTGCAATACAACCCCATTTTAATCAGGATTTTAATATCACTGTAGACAGAGAAAATACAGAATGACACAGGAATTTAGAGGCGAACTAGAATCTTTGACAACAAAAATTGTCTACATTTTATTTTCTGCCTGTTTCCTGGAAAAGGGTAAGTGATAGTTCTTTATTTCAGCTGCCTTTTCAATTGAGGCTTGAAGTAGGACTGTCCTGATTTGTAAACTAACCCAAGTTAAGATCAACCATTTCGTTAGGTACCCTAAGATACTATTTATGGATACACTTTACCTTAGCTGCTCTTTCTTGGAGTGTCTTTTCAAGTTTTCCCCTTGCATATATTATCAGGTACCTTACTTAATTATCCTTCTTAAGGTCAACCTATTTTCTGTTTTAAGGTTACTTTTAAGTTTGTTTAAGGTGTCCCTTAGGCGTCTGTTTCAAGGTTCCCTGAACAACTGTTCCCCTTAAGTACTGGTTTCAAGTTACCCCTCCTTACTAACACATAGTTATACTTTATTCAAGTGCTCTTTACTCTTTTACCTGACCTTGGTTGTATGGCCATGCTGTTGCTTCATGTAAGTTATGATCAAGTTATAGTGCATTACTTTTATTAGTATAAGTAACAGTGAATGAGAACAACTTGATAAAATACATATCATTTACCTCAAACTAAGCCAGGATTTTAATTGTGTATGTATTTGAGACAGAGGGAAGCATGATCTGTTCTTTCCTGAGAAATTTTGGATTTTTCAATCTCTCGCAGGTATAAAATGCCCAAAGCTAAAACTGCAGTTTTGATGGCATGCTACTTACATCCCCAGTTGAAGGCAATGGCGGTGGTGATGATGACGATCCCTCCCAAGATGGAGACAACCGACAGAAGCATGGCATTACGGCCGAGACGTCGCGCTCCGTCAATGTTGCCCTGCTGTAAACTGTTTCGGGACTAAAAACAGTGAAAAAAGGATTTAGTTGGATCAACACTAATGTCCTGTAGTCTTTGAAAAAAAGATAGTGATGTTGAGAAAATAGTTTTGCAGATGATATAACGTGTAAATTTTGATATTTCCCCATCACAATGATGCTTCATGATACAAGCTTAGGTACTCTAACTTGAAAAATGTGATTGGTTTCTACATATGTCTGAGTCTGTTTTAGCAGAAACATCATAATAAGTATAAGTCAACTTATTTTTACTTTGACAGTCTTGAAATGTTTATGTTTCTTTGAAAACATTTTTACTTGCATGAAGTAGAAAAATACAATAAATCTGTTGGAAACTACTTAACTTTAAAAAAAATAAAATAAATCATATTGTTATCAAATTATAATTAGTGGGTTTTCCCTCTAATTTCTTATCAATAGACAGAGTCTAAAGTCATACCATCACAGAAAAGGTGAGGGCTACGATGTTGATGGGCCACAAGGGGCAGAAGCAGGACAGGATGGCCAGTATCAGGTAGTCCCTTGGCTTGGACCCATCCACAGTGGCCTCTGTGATTGCACTGGGCTGGCGGGTGAGTGAGGGCCTTGGTGAGCCCCCCACCACCGAGCCGGACCGGCTGCCCAAACCAGACCGACCGTTGGCATGGCCCCCGGGTTTAGCGTGCAGTTTGGGCGACACAGAGGACACTGTGGGAGAGGAATCGACCCTCACGGGACCAACGCCATTACCTGGAATAAAAGAAGTTAGCAGAGAACTCTTAAAAAAGTACCATTAGGGAGCCTAAGACAGAGTTATATTATGATAAAATAGATAAGAATTCTTTGTAATCATCACTGTTTACAGTTGCTAAATGTAGTTAAGTAAAAAGTACAGCATTTAATACAGACAGATAATGAACTAGAGGTTAAAAAAAGAGATAATGGAACTACCAATGTTAAGCAGAAGTTCTCAACTTTAAAAAGATAAATAACATGGAGTGGAAGGGGAAGAAGAAGAAGAAGAAGAAGAGTGGAATGAAATATGGGGAGAAAAGTGAGTTTTGGATGGTGGCCATGGAGATTCATGCACAGGTATATTTACTGGTCTCTATGTTGTCATCCATCACTGTAAGAAGGTCCATGTCTTTGCCCTTTCCTGTTTGATTTCCATCAGGAGCGTCTGAGGTTGGTGCTTGTTGCTCCGCAGAGACTGGTTGAGAAGTCACAGTGGCATGATGGGCTTCTTCGTCCTGCTGTGTGCTGATTGGCTGGTGTGGCTGCTGGGACTCTTCCATGCTGCTGGATGACTGTGTGGCGGCAGTGGTGGGACTTGTGGCCATCAGACGGTGAAGATAGAGCGAAGGGGGGAAGAGAAGCTGAAGGCAGGCTGCACTCTGAAATGGATTAAAGACATGGTGTTAGAGTTCATTACTATTGATCCTGATTGGCTGTTTAAATCATAAAAAGCCAATCAGGATACATTTCCTTCTCGGTTCATCTGACCTCCACCTGATGACGTTTCTGTCTAACCGACTTTCATCATGTCCTGACCAAGGCTGGTTAGACCGAAGCGTTGTGTGATTAAATAAACATGTCAGCACAAAGGCAGACAGTGTGCATGAGCTATTCTCATTGTGTACTGTACTAAGTGTAAAAGTGGTTGTGGTGCCCACACTACAAACTAACAAACAAACAAACAAACACTAAGCCTACTGCTAGTTTCGTTTTGGCACAGATACTATTTGGTGAGGTTAAGATGAATGATTGTGGTTTTGATTAAAGGTCACATATTATACTCCTTTTTAACTAATTTAAATAGGTCTCAGAACTCCCTGAAACATGTCTGTGAAGTTTATTGCTAAAAATCCAATCTGATCCTGTTCAGCATGCCTGCAAACCCCTCTATTTCAGCCCTGCCCAGAACAGGCTGTTTCTGTGTCTGTAGCTTTAAATGCAAAAAAGCTGTGTCTGACCACGCCCCTCCAGAAGGGGTTTTGTGGCTAATGCTTTCGTGCTTACATGCTAAGTTGATCACAGTGAGAAGGCAGACTCAGAGGGCAGAACAAACACCTAGCTGTGGGAGTGTCACCCACCTTTGGAAGGGGTTACTGCCCTTTGTGATGTCACAGAGTGAAAATCTCCAAAAAGCCTGATAGAGCAAGGGAAAAGACTCTTCGCATAATATGGAAAATTGGTGTTTATAGACAGACTAGGGACACATTTTACTTTTTTAAAACCTTAGTAAAGTGTATTTTGCATAATATGTGACCTATTGTACTTTTGAACTATATAAGATAGAAGCTAAGCCCTGTCAATTTCATGAACTGTACACAACCAGTGGATGGTTTATGAGGGTTTTTTGCAGAAAGGGAGACTGGTGCATTCTCGTGTCAGTTCTATGTCGCTAAGATCATTTCTACTGACATCCTGCTGCAAAGTGGATATATGATACAGTGGTCCTATTCATTTTCTTATTAACTGCAGTGTTATTGAAATCTCAAGTCAGGAGATTTGAGAGAATATTAAGAGTGCTTCACAATAATACAAGAGCATTATTAGACTTCACAGACGTCTCTTTTAAGTCCCTGACGCTGAACCAAAAATAAACTATACACGAAAACAAAGACACACACAGAGTCTAAGGACTCGTACAAACACAAGGTAGGACTCATCAGGAACTAAAGATACACTGAAATACTTTGAAATATGATCTGTCAAAGCCAAAACTAAGGACATATGTACAGATCCAACAGAATGATATGTAACATGTTGTTTATCTAAGATCATAGCTCGCACATTCAAGATGTGATATTCTTCCTCTGGCCATCGAGGTTAGTCGATAAAAAAATATTCTAGAGAAAAACAGACTTTGTGAGGAGTGTGATTTGGAAGAAGTAGAAAGTGAGTCCCATTTTCTTTTGGATTGCATAAAATATGATGATATTGGGGTGGACAGATGTGCAAACTGAAATGGCTGTTTGACGTGTTTAGGATTGCTAATTTTGTCTCAAAAGCTTTTTAATTAGGGTTTATCTTGCTTTTGCTTTCTTTTTCTGTTCCATGACAATGAAGAGACCTACGATGCAATCTGATCCTGGAGCGTTTGAATTCATGATGTCATGTGAGCCCACACAGGCTGGGCATATAAATGTATGTTTGACACAATAATGGAATGAAAAACTTCAGAAACTTCCACATTTTCTGACCATGACTGAGGTTACACAAATTCAAGTGCCAAAATCGAGAACATGATTACTGTGGTCGTCAAAAGAAGAAGAAGAAGAAGAAGCGGAAGAAGAGGAAGAAGGTTTTTGTAACCTGAAGCATAATATTAATATAACAAATCTGGGATGTGTGTGGGTTGATTAGGTTGCCTCTTGCTGCCAGCTGCTGAAGTTTCTGGCTCCTGGCCTTGTGAGTAGGTGGACATGAGCTCAGGCTGTGTTTGTTTGAAGGTCACCAGGCCACTGATGGAGTTTATTTAGACTCATACGTCACTGAATGCCTCTTAAAACCAGAACCATCGTGACATATACATGAATCAGCATCAGTGAAAGTGAGGAGGGATATTAATCTGTCAGTCTTTACACTGAACGATGGCATTGATTATACTTTCACAGCATTTTAATAAAGATGGACAACTTTGACTCTTGAATCCATGAACTTTCAATCCTTTTACTTCACTACATCTTGGTGACAATTATTGTTCTTTTTACTGCAGACCCTTTGTCAGTGTGTCTGTAACATAAAAAGTGTGCACCACTTTGCTACATTATTCAGACTGAATAACATGTTTCCTTGAAAGGGGTTTGCAAAAAGGCTTTGAACTATGGAAGCGATTAGTGATCAGAATTCAAATGATAAAGCTAATTTGAAAATTCAAATGCATTAACAGAAATGCTTTTTAATTTTCAGAATATGAGTGTATTATTTGACTCAAAAATAAAATGATGATTAATTTATCTAATTAGAATTTTAGTTTTCATCTTCAAAAATGCAAATTTTTTGACTAAATTAAAATGAGGAAGAAAATTACATTTGCTTTATCATTTTCAAAAATTGCCCCGCTAAATTTGAAAAGCCAAAGAGCTTTTTGTTTTCATTTGAATTATGTCATACAATATGCATACATAGAAAGTAAAAGTACAATGCAAACTGGATGACTGAATATTCATTTTAAATATAGGTCAAATAATGCACCTATATTCTGAAAATTAAAACATGTTTCTGTTACTGTATTTTCGTTTTAAAATGAGCTTTTTCATTTGAATTATGATACAGATTTAGCGGGGCATTTTTTGAAAATAATAAAGCAAATGTAATTTTCTTCCTCATTTTAATTTAGTCAAAGAATGTGCATTTTTGAAGTTGAAAACTAAAATTCAAATTAGATTAATGAATCATCATTTTATTTTTGAGTCAAATAATACACTCATATTCTGAAAATTAAAAAGCATTTCTGTTAATGCATTTGAATTTTCAAATTAGCTTTATCATTTGAATTTTGATCACTAATCGCTCCCATATCGAATTACGCTTTCTCTTGATCTCTGAAGTGTCAGAGGTTTTGACTAATCAGCAGTGGCATGTATAATTTCCCCACTTTTCAATAAGAGGTGTTCAATCCATTATTTTTTTTTAATAAATGTTTTACTGCGTTTCTTCAAGGTTTCAATTTACTTGTTGTATTTTGTCTGTATTGAGACATCAACTTGTGCACTTTGTTCAAGAATAAAAACTTTAATTAACAATCCTTAATAATCCTACTGTTTTCTGCATTTCCACATGCTTTGAGGAACTAAACCCCAGCTTTGTTTTTGTGTGCCTTTTTTCTTTTGGAGAGATAGGACAGTGGGTAGAGTCAGAATCAGGGAGGGAGAGAGAGTTGGGGGTGACATGTGGGAAGGGAGCCACAGGACAGATTCAAACATGGACCACCTGCATGGAGGACTACAGCCTCCGTACACTGGGCGCGCACACTAACCACTGCGCCACCAGTGCCCTAAACCTCTGAAATCTTTACCACAAAACCATACTGATCTTTATTTTTAAAACTATTAAAGAGCTTTATTATTTCTAATGATGAGTAATAGTTATATAGTGCCACACATCATTTTCCTAATGTAATATTCTAATGCAGACTTTTCTTCAATCAATGCAGATGGACCGCTGTAAATAATTCAGTCTCTTGCACTTCCTATCTTATCTCCTCCATCTTGAATCTGTTCCACTTCAATAAATGTTCCTGCGATCTTGTGTTTGATAAAAAAAAAAAAGCTCCTCTCACTGCAGTGTGGATGTTAGATCCCTGTGGCAGAGGCTCATTGATCTGAGTGGAAGCCTGGAGTATGAGTCGCTGCATAGTCAGTCTTGAGTCAAATGGAACGTTGTAAAGCGATTTACGACAATGAACAGTTTTTAAAAAATGTAACTCTTCCTCCTAGATGTTATTTTTATTATTATTATTATGGCTCTCATCGTTCCTGATGTTATGAGAATGACAGCAAGGAGCAGAGGGATTTGTTGGAGCCAGAGCCACAGCTAGAACTAGCTCCAGGCAATACGGGGTTGCAGCCACGGAACCCTGACTCGGCTGTCCCGACCTTGGTGTCAAAATCCAGGCCGGACTCGCTTTAAATCTCCTTGCTGCAGTAACATTATGTTATTCTGTGTCGTTCGATACAACTTTCCCATCTAAGCCAGACTTTTCGTGTCTGGTCTTACTCTCTGTCCCACAGAGCGCCACCTACAGGCCTGCAGTACTTCTGTTGAAATGGCTGAACTTGCAGCTTTTGTCTTCTTGCAGCTGTTTTCTGAATATGTTGATTTTTGACTTGTTTCGTTTATGTATTTGCAGCATATTTTGATGTTAATGGAGTTGTTACGCCTTTTTGTGTCATTTGCAGCGCATTTCAGCCGTTGCATTTGTTTTGGATGCTTGCATTTGCTTGTAGGCCTACGTCATTTGAGCTGTTGTCGAGCCTTTGCTCCTACCGGCCACCGTACAAACGCCATAAAAGACAACAGAAGAACAGATGGTAGGTGGAGGTAATGTACCTTCACACATATCGTCAGCCGTCACATTACACGTTTTTGAGGAATAAGAACTTACATTGTTGCTTATTTGAATCAAAAGGAATGTAAAACACAATATGGAAACAAACGTACAAAGCCTACATCACTTCAGTTGTACCTGAAGTGATTTGTAGCAGTTGATTCTTTCATGAGTTATACTATTCCCATTCATTCGGCCAGTGTGCATGAATTGTCTTCTTTTTCTGTCACTGGTATGCATGCAGTAGATTTGGCTGTAAGGTGGACTAAAGAGCAGATTTGGGGGAGGGGCTGGACTGCAGCACCCTCTCACTGAACACTGTAATGACCTGCCAGGACT